TAGCACATGATTTACGACAGTCTATAAGGTATTTTATTTTAATTTCGCCATTTTTTGACAACAAATCTTGAATTCTAGGTCTTTGTACTACAGATTTGTCATCATCCCGCACAGTTTTCTTACAAATAATGCACTTCATTGTCTTAAAACTTAATATGTTCTGATGATTATTACACACTGCTTATTACGCACGAACCTATATACTCCAAATCCCGCAAGCCGTACACTATGTAGATTACACATTACGTTGGACGCCCCATGCATCAGTTTAGCGCGCTATGAAATAATCGCTTGTTGCCAAACTATAAGCTTTAGGAAAAAACTAATTATTTCAAAAATTTATGTAGTGTTTGGGCTTCATTTTCTTCGCTGCATGTATATAAAAAAAATCATAAATAAAAAAGTTTATCGATTGGTGAAAATTGTATTACACAAAATTTAAATATCAAGTTTTCCTGATTTTTAGCGAAATGAAAAAGCGATTTTTATAAAATCCATTAGTACTGTTAAAAGCGCTATTGTGTCTGCTTTAATTTAAAAAAAAAATTACTCTGATAGTACAATTATTTTTTGAGATATAATGGTGGAGACCTCAAAAAAACATGTTCTCATAAAAATAGATTTTTTTTTATTTTTTCGAAATTAAAAAGATCCCGACCAACAAAAAATGTCATAAAATACGATTTCATATGCCCAATCACATGCTTAATAAAACCTACCATGTCTGACCTGGTTCTACATAAAAAAAAAAAACGACACAATAGACTCTTCAAATCGCTGCACTAAAATGCATATGTCGTTATAGCTTCAAAAGAATACGTTTTGCGTTACCCTCCTAGAATACGCCACTCCAGAGAAGTATTTCAACGTTTAACCTGATGCCACTACATTCTGTAAGAAGACATCGCCATGCAAGAACGGAAGATAATATTCTTAATGTGTTAGCTTGTGTCCATGTAAATCCCCAAATAAGTGTTAGGGAATTAGTTAAAGACACAGGAATTTCATATGGAACATAAGTACTTTTCTCACACAAATTTTGCACGAAGCAACAGCTGTCACATATCGTTGGACATAATTTTTCATTTGTCTATTTTCATACGACATAGCCTGTCTTGTTATGGAAAAAATAATCTTCATAACTACTCAGATATGAGAAATTAATAAAAAAAATGAAACATTGCAGTTATCAAGAAAATTTAAAAATATAGCAAGTACTTAATTTTTTAAAGGTATAGTTTTACAATTTATTTTTGACTTGGACCATGGCAATGTTATTTAGAGAACTAAATAAAGAAAGATGTTCTAGCACAGTTTCACTATTTTAGCAATAACTTGAAAATGAAAAAAATATCAACCTCCGGTTTGTGTATTTGTTTTCCTTAATAAATGGTCTATCAAGCCATGAAAAAAAAAACCTATAACGTTACAATTAATTTTTTTAGTAAACGAAGACAATTACAAAACTTTTCTAATTATCGTCGTCTACCGTTGAGTAGGAAAATAATATTTTATTCCCATATAATAAAAATTAATTTTATTAATAGTTCTTTAAAATGAGCCGTCGTTTCTTGAAATGGATTAAGTAAGGCATTTAGAAGTTATGACAATTTAAGAATTTCAAGATGGCGTCCTTTATACTGGCATTGCTATGGTAATAAAAAAAAGTTTAAACAAAACTTATTAAGGGTTTAACAGTGTATCTAAAAAGTGTAATTTCAACTTGGATTATACAATAAACAAAATTTCTAAAAAACAACAATTTTCTGTAACACTATTGCAGTTGCGCCCTCTAGCTGTGACGTTACAAACTTGAAAATATTTTAAAGCAATTTCTTTTGGCCGTATTTGTTAATAGATTTTGTACGCCATAATCATAGCACGTTTAGTTTCCTATATACAACCGTTCCGTACCGTTAACGGATCACCCTATATATACTACCTACAAATTAAGTTCATGCCAGTTTTATATCTTTTTAGACATAAAAAGTAAGATGTAACAGGTAATAATCACCAAAAAAGAACATATTGTTGAAGAAATAAATTTTTGAAAATTCTTTTTTGCACAGGTATGGCATCTTTAAAATATATTTCTTTTTACATACTTTGTGACTGAAAAAATCATTACCACTATATTATTTTCAGGAATGCGGAGCGAATTCAGAATCTTTTATTTTTTCTTTTTTCGCTTTGCATAAAATCACACAAACTACAGTCTTGAACAGCACATCTTTCTCATATGCCGTTTTCATGTCAACCATGTAAGATAACAGATATTCATATTTAATCAAACCTGACCAAAAAGTAACTAAGGTGTTTAAATAATAACCATTTCAGTTACAAAAATAAATTAGTAGTGCATTCATCAAATATTTTACAAATTAATGCGATAATAATTTACTACACTTTAGCAAACCTGTATCTTAAAAATTACAGTTGTCATAAATTCACATAAGAGATAGGGTCCTTCATTTTTGACGCGCTGTTGTATTGTACTCCGTATGTACCTACTTAGGTTTATGATTTTCTTTTGTAGATTCGTTCAGCTCAATCCTGGATTGCTGAAAGTCAAAATTACTAAAACTTGTTTAGTTACAAGTGAACTTCAAAATGTCTAAAGGTGCTGAAGTATGAAATTATTTGAAACATGACAAACACAAACAATAATAAAACAATCTAAAAGTGTAATACATTTTCTTTCATTAGAATCAGTATCAGAATAATTTAAAGAAATAAGTTCAAAGGGATAAGTTTTAATTGTACTTTTAAAACGGAAAGATTTCGATCTCTTAAGTAAGTATAAGTGTTGTGTATAAAATATTTTATTTTTGTAGAACTGCTGCTAATCTAATAAAACATCGTGTGTACAAATTTTATAGAAACACTAAAAGAGGTGTTAAAAAGTACAAAATATATTTATATAACTAATATTGTCATTGACTTGTAAATGACTTTGATTTCTATATTTTTTCGATAAGATTATCAATATTTTCAAGTTTTAAGTACATCGAGTTATTGCTCTGTATGTGCAATTAAAATATATTTTATATATCTAAAACTATTGCTATCGAGAGTTTACCTTGCCATATTAGTTTCCACAATATTTCTGAGATAATATTGTTTGATACAATTTTTTTAATTCTTTCAACAGATAATTATTTAAAAATTTGCGCCTTAATTTAGTACACAAAAATGAAAACTAATATCCCTGTTTAGAATTGAACACACTGGTTATTGAGACTAATATGGAGAAACATGGAAGAATATTTCTTTTTTGAATATTTAAGAAAAAAATTTGTTTACAGAAAAATTTATTTGATTTACTTGAACCATTTGTAAATTTGGTCAATTTGACCATTAATGTTCATTTATGACATTTCAGCTTAAAGGGAAAATATTAATTATCAAAAAATATTTGAAAAATTGTCTGTTGAGAAAAAATCAACGAGTTGTTATCTTATCAACTAACATTATAATAATTGAAAAGTGGTTTAATTTAATATATGTATAGATAAGGTGAAGGATGTGGTAGATTTTTATAAACATTTTGTAATTAAGTTTATATTGAATATGTTTTAAGTAGGAAACAGTGGGTTTCCCTCGTTCTTTAATTTTAAGATTAATTTTATTATCTTTAATTATATCCAACATGGAGGAAATACCAATTTTAATTTTAGAAGATATACAGGGTGTTTGGTAAGTCGATGCATTCCTTGCAGGAGGTTATAGTACAAGTGATTTGTGATACATTTTCTTAATATACCATATTCCGAAAACGCTTAGTTTCGGATCTACAGGGTGTTAAAATTTTAATAAAAAAATGCAAATTTAAAAATATTGCGGAAACCGCACAGAATATTATAATGCAATTTTAAAGGCTTTGACAGTTAACAACAATACATGTTTCATGATATTTTTAAAGAAAAAAATGATACGCCACTGATTTTTCTTAAAATAAAAATTATGTTTGAATTCCTTGTTCAATTTGGAAGAGAAAAGGTATCTTGTCTGTTTTTCTTATGACGCACCGTTTTCGAGTAAAAAAATTTAAATCGATTTATTGCATGGCATAATCCGGTTTCAATAATTTGAAAAATGGCAGAAATTATGCACTTAGTTTTTGTACCTACCAATTTTATTACAACACGTTATTACTAAAGTGACAGTTATTATTAATTTTGTCCAACAATGCCAAAAACGAGTGCACAGCCAATCTGCTAATTTCTGTTTAAGATAGTGAATAGTGAATCTAAAAACTGATAAATTTTTTTAGACTGATGTTAACTGTAAGGAGTAGTCATTTTTTGTAATAAAATTGGTACAAAAAAAAAATTGAGTACATTATTTCTGGTGTTTTTCAAATTATTGAAACCGGATTACGCCATACAAAAAATCGATTTTAATTTATTTACTGGAAAACGGTGCGTCATAAGAAAAACAGTCGATGTACCTTTTCTCTTCCAAATTGAACAAGGATTTCAAAAATAATTTTTATTTTAATAAAAATCAGTGACGTAGCATTTTTTTCGTTAAAAATATCCAGAGACGTACCTATGCGCACGCCACTGGTGAAACTGAAAACAATATTTTTATCGTAAAACGTGTGTTAACTGTCAAAGCCTGTAAAATTTCATTAAAATATTCTGAGCGGTTTCCGCAATATTTTTAAATTTGCATATTTTTATTAAAACTTTAACACCCTGTAGATCGGAAACTAAGCGTTTTCGGAATATGGTATATTAAGGAAATAGGTAATTTACTTTAGTACACCCTCTCCAATTTTCACAAAATTTTGTCTACCCTCCTATTTTCGATGGTGCTGAACACGAATCTGCAGTTTTTTTTGTGCGGTCGAACCCATTTTTTGAGAAAAATTTTTTTCAAAATTCTAACCTGGATATTTCAAATAACATTACGTAGAACTCTGTATATTTTATGTAGCTTTCAGAACATCTGTTATGAACAATTAACACTGTTCACGAAACACATTTTCGTAAATTGCAAGTAAAAAAATATGTATTTAATAAATAAAAATTTTGTAGTTTGAATCCGCCATTTGTAATTCGTGATGACAACATTGAGTTCCCCCACTCTCATTCATCTCTGTTCATCCCACATAAAGTTGTTATAATTTTATTTATTAAATACATACATATTTTTTTTAGTTCAAATTTGGGAAAACGTGTTTCTTAAACAATGTTGATTGTTTATTACAGATGTTCTGAAAGCTACATAAAATATACAGAGTTCTACGTAGTGTTATCTGAAATACTCAGGTTAGAATTTTGAAATTTTTTTTTCTCAAAAACTGGGTTCGACCGCACAAAAAACTTCAGATTCGTGTTCAGCACCATCGAAAATAGGGGGGTAGACAAAATTTTGTGAAAATTGGAGAGGGTGCCACTATAGTAAATAATTACCAGGAAATATATCACAAATCATTTGTACTATAACATCCTGCAAGGAATGCATCGACTTACCAAACACCCTGTATATCAAATACAAAACATTTCTAAATCTAAAATAAAGTGTTCCATTTGGCGTCAATAACAAAGTGAAATTAAACTAATGTCAGAATTTAAATGTATCCCTATATTTTGTTACTGTAACTTAAGAGAAAAGAATAAAGTGTTAATTTTTGTAGGCAGTTTATTGTTTATCCTCACTTTTCTTGTAAAATAGTAAAGCACATTTTAGACGATATGTTATAAGTACGAAGTTTTGTTTTGTAAATTTTAAATTTTAATAATATTTTATGTTTGTCGCATTTTTAAATATGTATACCTATAATAAATTGTACAATATCAACAATTTTACACCTCAATCACAATTGTTAAAAAAAATTACATTTTAAGCTAATTAATCTTTTTTCAATTATTTTTTTTAATGTGAACTCCAATTTAATGTTAACCAGTTTTAATTTGTTTTTTCTGCAGCTAATACCATGAAATATGATACAATTTAAAGATAAATGTTATGGGAAAGTTAATTGGCTTAAAATATCGATAATGCGAAAAATATGTAATTGAGCGTTTTATTGCCTAAAATTGTTTGAATCGTACAGGGTTATGAGGAAATGAAAGAGCCATACATTAAAGGTAGATTCCTTGGGTGAAAGTAATAATAATCATAGCCACACAAAAAAAAAGTTGTCTGTACTTTTCATGGGACATATGTTATCCGTAGTATTGTTGCCTCCTGATCACGAATCCGGTGTCAGAATTGAGCTATCACATCACATGAATTTCCTAACCTCAAAAAAACAGGTCAAAAATAGCAAAAATTTACGAATAAGCGCCAAGAAAAATACAAAAACATTTTTTTTTCTATATTCAAATGTTCATTTATATGGTTAAGACCACGCCGAACGTGAATCCGCGGTTAGAACTGATGGTTCTTTTTCTAACCTCAAATAAACGGATCAATATCAGATATCATGAATTTTCAAAAAATAAGATTCGCGCCAAATTTGGTATACGGGGGTTTTCGGGGTCGCTGATCACGGATACGGGGTCAATTTTGCGAAATTCAAGACGGCTGATCCAAGATGGCCGACCAAATTTTCGGTCAATTTTGCAAAATTCAAAATGGCCGAACAAATTTTCAAAAAATAACATTCGCGCCAAAGGTATACGGGGATTTTCGGAGTCGCTGATTACGGATCCGAGGTCAATTTTACAAAATTGAAGATGGCCGACCAAATTTTCAAAAAACAACACATTCGCGTCAAATTTGTTATACGGGGGTTTTCGGGGTCGCTTATTACGAATTCGAGGTCAGAATTGCGAAATTCATTTTGTAATATCTTTGTTTACTTTATAACCTGAGTACCCAATCAAGTTTTAACCTTCTTAAAGTACATAGGTATTTGATTAAATTTTTAAAAACGAAAACACCCGTATACCAAATTTGGCGCGAATGTTATTTTTTTAAAATTTGGTCGGCCATCTTGGATCCGCCATCTTGAATTTTGAAATATTGACCTCGGATCCGTGATCAGCAACCATATACCAAATTTGGCGCGAATCTGTCATTTTTTGAAAGTTTGTAATATCTGATTTTAAATGACCCGTTTTCTTAGGTTAGAAAAAGAACCATCAATTTTCACCGTGGATTCACGTTCGGCGGGGTCTTAACCATATAAATGAACATTTGAATATAGAAAATAAAATTTTTTTGTATATTTCTTAGCACTTTTTCTTGAATTTTTGCTATTTTTGACCTGTTTTTTGAGGTTAGGAAATTTCTGTGGATTAGATCAATTCTGACACCGGATTCGTGATCAGGAGGCAAAAATACTACAGATAATATATGTCGCATGAAAAGTACAGACAACTTTTTTTTGCGTGTGTGGCTGTGTAATCGATCAAATTACCTTAGTACATTTTTGCTTCGTTAAAAAGTTGTGGGTATCCAAAAAAACTTATTTTATTTCATTTTTGAAGATAACTCCGTTATTTTTTTTTACTTCAATTAAATTTTTATAGGGATCCGAGGATGAATGCAGGTCATTAAAAAAGTTTCCTTTGTTGGTAATGATTTTGAGAAAATACAATGTTTTTCAAAAAGTCACTTTATTGTAAAAAAAAAGATATATTATTAAATTTTAAATGTATTTTAAAGCTAATTCAAATAAATTCTAAAATTTTTCTAAAATTCTTATCGGATGAGGTCATTGTCATTACCAAATCAAAGAATATTGTTTAACTTTATCTGCTAGGATTTTTAGAAAAACTTGAATTTAGTTGAAAAAGCTTAATATCTTCAAAGTAAAGTGAAAATACTTGTTGCATGTTTCTAAAATTCATTGTTAAAAAAAAATTATCACTGCAATTCCACAATTGAATACTTGGAAGTCATTCTATCGAATTAATTTTCATTTTTTTGTTAGATTTGTATTTATTTTAAATATTGTTTTATAATTTAGAACCAACTTGTCTATTCAAATGTGAGTGCCGGATAGTGTTCCATAAAACATTTGGAGTTCTACAGTGTGTCCACGGATTGAGTGCATGTGGAGTGTAAATGACAAAAAATTTTCGAGTTGAAATTTGAACTTCTGGGCATCATCTCTGATTGGCCTTAAAGTAGAAAGTTGAAAAAATTAGTCCAATTAATTAATGTACAGGGTATTTACGAAGAATTTTCAAAAATTGTCACAAGTAAAGTACCTACTTACCTTTGTTTCTAAAAATGTCAAAAATATTTACTTAAGAAAGTTATTGAGAACTAAAAGTTATAACATATTGTCAATTTTCAATTTGATCGGCCAACTTTGTTTTTTTATTTTTCACAACCACAAAGTACCAATTTCTAATTATTTATTAGAGAAAAAAACGTAACTAACATAATAAACAAATAATATAATGGTTATTCAAATGTACTGCCACCAACCATTACACATCGCTTAGCGCGCTTAATGAATTCTGTGTAGGAATTTTGGATTTCTTGAATGGGGATGGCATTAATTGTATCTTTTATTCTTCATTTCAATTCAAATAAATTGTTATTCAACGGTGACCTATAGACTTTCTGCTTGAAATAGCCCCATAAATAAAAGTCCATTAGAGTTAAATCAGGACTTCTAGGAGGTCAAGAAATTGGGCCATTTCCAATCCACCGCCCAGAAAATTGACCATCTAGCCAAAAAATAAAGTTTGATCAAATTGAAAATTGACAATCTGTCATAACTTTTAGTTCTCAGTAACTTTCTTAAGAAAATATTTTTGATATTTTTAAAAACAAAGGTACTTTACTCTTGACAATTTTTGAAAATTCATTGTAAAAACACCCTGTGCATTAAATTAATTGGACAAATTCATTCTTTCAAGTTCTTAGTTTAAGGCCAAGTAGAGATGAAGCCCAGAAGTTCAAATTTCAACTTGAAAAATTTTTGCCATGTGCACTCAATCCGTACCACCACTGTATATGTATAAAAAAAAATTAAAACTACAAATTTAAAAAAATTGTGAGTTTAAATTAGTTCTAGTTGCAATCCATTTTTCTCTGAAACAATGCATCCTAAAAATAAAAGGAAGAGAAAACTATACTAAGGTAACTTGATCTAAATAATTTTCATTCAAAGAAGCTACCCTTGAAGTATAGCCCATTCGTTTCCCGACATTATGTCTTTACTTTGTCCACTTTTTCATACATAATCTATTTTTGCTTCCTACATTTAACTGCTAAAAATTGCAGAGGGTCATATGTTATACTGTTGTCACGATTTCATTTGTATTAAGTATACAATTTTTATATTTTTCTTAATAAACCCAAATATTGGAAAGTTTGTGTTTGTCTGTCCATATACATATTGAAAAAAATTTTTAAGCCCGAAAATAATACTAGCTGCCTCTTTTTCGATTTGAGAATACGCTAATTCGGCTGAATTTAACAATCGTGATGCAAAAGCAATCGGTCTTTCCGTATTATCATCATATATGTGACTCAAAGTAGCTCCCAGTGCCGTACTAGAAGCATCAACAGTTAATTTAATTTGTTTTGTAGGGTCATAATGTGCTAAAACAGTTGAAGACAATAAAATTTGTTTTGCTTTTTCAAAACTGTTGTTACAATCAACAGACCAATTCCATCTGGAATTTTTTTTTAAATAAATTATACAGAGGTTTTAACACATCAGCCGCATTTGGAACAAACTTGCAATAGAAATTTACTGCTCCAAGAAAAGATTTTAATTCCGTAATAGTTTTCGGTATTGCTATTTGTTTTATTGCTAGAACTCTATCATCTGAAGTATGCAAACCTTCTCTGTCAATTACATGCCCTAAATATTTAACTGATTTTTTAAAAAATTCACATTTCTTTCTTTACTAACCATAATCCCATAAGCCCATAATCATGAAGACGTTTAAATACTATTTCTAACCTATCCAAATGCTTTTGATCATTTTTCCCTGTTACTAAAATATCGTCAAGAAAGCAAACTACACCTGGCATAACAAACATTTGCTCCATGATATTTTGAAATATCGATGGTGCGGTTTTTATACCATAGGGTAAACGTTAATTATATTGTCATATAATATCAAAACTTTTTTTTATTGAAAGTGCTGTGGCAAAATTATGCATATCTAATCCCCGGACAAATTTTTTCTTTAACAGATTTATGCAATTTTGTGGTATTTTCATTATTTATTGTGTCCAACTTGTGCTGCCCCATTCTCCTTGGAAGAACAAACGATTTCGAATGAAGCTGCTTTATGGGAGTAGTCTTTACGTCCATATCACAGTTTACGGTATCTGTGTTGCTGAAACAGTACCACAATCGTTAGTTTTTTAATTCTTATAACAGAAAACGTGATAGTAAGGTACGTCAAATATAAAGAAGCCGATAATTTTAGAAACAAAAGTCTGAAATATCAAGTACTGTTTTTCCCTTCTATTGCCCGTTACACAGGGTGTCTCAGTTTTCTCTATAAGACTTCGGGAGCAAATAGTACAACGAAAAATAATGGTACTTTTATAAACTTATTTCGAAATCTCAACTGTTTTCGAGATATAGGGGGTTTATAGTTAAAAAAAAATCATTTACAGTAAATATATTCTGAAATAATAGATATTTGAACTAAATTCGGTGTATGTTATATTGGGTCAAGTTTCCATACAATACTGCAATATCAAAACTTTTGTGCAACCAGCGGCAGAGATATGGGAAACTCTTTTGACTATTTTATAAAACAAAAATAGTATGATTCTGTGCAAAATAATATTTGATTATATTTTTTTGAAAAAGCATGCCACTGGGAACAAAAAATACCTCACATTTTGTCGATATCTGTCTCTGGCATTTACGGCAAATTGGATTTCTTTTTCCTTTCAGACTACCCATATTCTGTACGCTAATGGGTTTTTTAAATTCCTGTTTCAACTAATCTAAGTAAAACATAAAGTAACATCCTTCGAATCAATAATATTATTTGATTAATACAAGAACTTCAAGAGAATCATTAATTGACCTGTTTTTTAGATTTTTCAAACATTTTTTACCGCCAGTAAATTTTTTCATGTGAATAACACCGTTAAATAAAATTTAAAGCAAAATTAAATGTAGGAAACAGCTTACAAAATATGAAATACACAAAAATTTAACTAAAAGGTTAATAACAAAATCACATAATAATTCAAAGCCAAAAATTAAATTAACAACAGATTAACTAACTAATAAATGATTATTGCCGCTACTAACAATATTGAATACATTACATAATTGGTGATCAAAATGGGCACAATTTGCCTCAATGCCCTGTAGGGTGTTAAAATATTTAATTGTATGCGCTGGAGCTGAACCCTGACTTTTAATTAGTCACATGCAGTTCTTAGGCGACATATTAATTGTTCCGCTGAATTTATTTGAACTTCATACACATAATTTATAATTATGCTCCATATGGATAAGTCCAGGGGAGTAAAATAATAGGGCCCTGTTTGGCAATCCATCTGTTACGGTAATTGACATTTAACTAGTTTTCAACTACCCTACCAGAATAAGCAGGAGCTCCATCTAATTGCAACCACATATTCCTCCTTAAGACTAAAGGTCTAGCATCAAATAAAAATCTTGCTCAAGAAATTGAAGAAAGCCTAATAAGTGCACTTTACTTGTAAATTAATGATTCTCTTGAAATTCTGGTAATAATCAAATAATAATATATTGATTCGAAAGATGCTACTTTATTTTTCATTTAAATTAAAAATCTAATTTATCATAAAACAGACAGATATTGACAAAATGTAAGAGGCATTTTTTGTTTCTATAGGCATGCTTTTTCATAAATTATTATTTTGCACAGAACCGTACTATTTTTTTTATAAAATAGTCAAATGGGTTTATCACATCTCTGCCAATGGTTGCGCAAAAGTCTTGATATTACAGCATTTTATGGAATATAGCTTACACTAAATTTAATTCTTCAAATACCTCTATTATTTCAGAAGATATTTACAGTAGAATAAATGTTTTTTGTTTTTTTAATTATTAACACCTGGTATCTCGAAAATGGTTTATATTTCGAAATAAGTTTATATGACAAAGTACCATTATTTTTCGTTGTACTATCTGCTGCCGAAGTTTCATAGATTAAAACTGAGATACTTCTCTGCATATCCTGGGCGAGTGCCCGGGATTTGCACACAGCAGAATAACGCTCCTTGGGAGACCTTATTTGGAACCCAAGGAACTGAGAGAAGTGTCAGCAAGGAAACTTTTGGACTTTGTCAAAAGGACAAAACTACTTGCTGAATAGGACTAGTAGTGGGACGCCTAATTAGCATGGCTGCGGGCCCATGGGACTTATTAGAACCAATAGTCCACGGGCCCACGTACAAAGAAAAAAATGATTACCAGCAAGCTGTAACTTTGCGTGTACGTGGTGACATTATGGTTGGTGACAACCAGCAAGTTGATTTTTCTTGGAGGGTTTAGTAATAAGATTTGAAATGAAAGTATCTTATTGCCCGACAAAATTCTTGAGAAGTTTTTGCAGTCCGACGCCCCGCAGATGTCGATTTAACGACAACATGGTTGGTTATAACCAGCTGTCGGACAAAAGCCTCCTTATTTAAAAAAATGCAATATTAATCTGAGAATTTAATTGTCCGACAAAATTATCGTTTTTTTTTGCTTGTCCGACAAAATTAAACGATAAAATTTTGCGATTTCAATACTTACACATGATGTAGAAGAAAAATTTATATTTAATAAAAAAAAATATAAAAAAAAAAAAATTGTGTAAAAAGCTCAAATTTCAAAATAAATATGACTAATTTAAATTTATTTTTTATACAGTTACAAAAAAATTGTATATATGCAATATCTGAACATTTAGAAAATTAATTTACACAACTAAAACTGCTGCATTTCAATCGTACCTTATTAAGTAGATAATGCAGAATAATATTGTTAAAACCGAATAGTAAATATTAAAAAATTTTAATTAATTTGTTATAAAATTATTGATTAATTATTTTTTTTTACTTTTTCACTTTTTCCTCTTGATTTATCATTTCCACAATTACACATACAAAACACTCCATGATTTACGAAATTTTTACCACGAGGCATGCACGAGACTGTGAACCATGTGCACGTACTTATAGGATATACACGGAGTGCGGTAGAAATTATTTTTTGGAGAACACTCACTTTCAACTTATGTATTAATGCAGTCTATGTGTGTGTGCACTTACCTGCTATGGGTAACATACCATTACTACGTTGGATTCCTTGAGAAAAGAAATAGAGAGAACGGGCGGTGGATTCAAAATATTTTTAAAATTGGTTTAATTGGTTTTTCAAGAACAAAACTATGTGTAAACTGTTTGTCAAAACAAAGACTGCAAATTTTAATTTAAAAAAACAGAAGCAAAAATTTATGCATTCATTTTACAGTTAACATTTTTTATAAAATAGTTACAACAGTTTATAAAATGAAATGTAAGTACATATAAGTTTTTTGAACAAAGATATCATTTTGATAGAGATTAATTAAATTAATTTTTATAGACATAATTACAGTAGAATTTCTATAATCCGGCACTTCAGTACACCGGCACGTCCAGTAATCCAGCGTTATTTTTTCGCACAAATTTTTTGGAGGATTTAAACTTAAAAAAAAGTGCTGGTCATAACATTCCATGTTTATGCCAGATTGACATGTTTTCCTGGAAATCACGGGAAAACTTACCACTGTTGAATTTTCCTCGTAGTCAAATCTTAGGAGACTCGTCAAACTTAAGCTGCACGCAAAGATACAGCTTGCTGGTAATCATTTTTTTTTTGTACATGGGCCCATGGACTACAACCACTAGGAAAGAAGAAGAAGAGGTACCCTGTATATGACAAACATTGAACAAAAGACAGGTAAAATATACCAGCATCAATAAAAACTTTTTGTAAAAGCTAAATCATTTCTCAAACTTTTGTATACGGAATATTTTCTTGTCAATGTCATAACTCCAAGAATGTGCTCCTTGGATTCTTAATGAAACAAAGTGTTATACGAAATAAGGGCATTGAAATTAAATCACATTTATTCAAATATCTCTGAAGTTATGTATCCTAGACTGATAAAAATTGTGTTTATAATACAATTACTAAAGGCAAATATTAAGTAAACTGGTTTTTAAATATGTCAACTATATTCCGCGGTCGAAATTATAGAGAGTGACTCATCGCTAGCTTTTGGACTAGTAAGGGGGATGAAGCGTGCCGGGAACGAAAATCCATTGGCGTGTCTGCGTAAAAAGCAACAAGATAAAGAAAATATTGAAAAAAGATAATAAAACATAACATCTAATATTTTTTACGGTTTGCTATAACCGGCACTTTGATCCATTTTAATTATTACAGCATTTTAAAATGTCCCAGTTGTGTTTTTTTAATTTATAAATTTATTATAGCCATGGAATTAGACCCCTCGTCTACGTTTATGCTATGACGTTTCTCAGGACGGCTAAATCAAATCCGTTTACACCCACTAAAAAAGCATTTCCCTATTCCCTACCAAGTGCAAAAGACAGAGATAGAATATAGATTGACGTTCAGTGTAACTCGGTCTATAGACGATTGTAGATTCTATCGATGTGCGTAGCGAGCGGCACAAAGATAAATAATATTGAACCATATAAAAATCATTTTATATTTTATACGCATTATGGTAATAGTTTTTTTTATAGTATGTCTGAGTCACTCTCTATAATTTCGACCGCAGAGTATAATGAGGGATACTGCCACTGAGAAACTCAGAAACTACTGTACATTTTCATATTCCAAGTTTCATCATCCGCCATCTCTGTAAATATGTATATGAATAAATGTTATTAAGGCTTTTTAGTCTTAAATATTCTGAAACTGCCGTATAAATTTTGTTAACAACCTGTTCAAAGATATAGTATGTGGGCTCTAAAAAAACAAGGTGAAATAATTCTTAGAATGTGGACGACAATTGTCAATGTTTGTAAACCCCTAGGGTTTACAAAAGTCCACTTGAGGTATGCTTAAATTATTAGCTTTGCCCTTAGTATCCATACAATTTTAGACAGAGAAAATTCATTTAAATTAGCTAAATAATACATTTAAAGGAAAATTATTTTTCTACTTCCTATTTATTTACCTCTTAGCTTTTAAGTGTTGGTTCTCGTGATTTTTCTTTACAGATTTGTTTCTTAAAACTTTATTAGGTTTCAAAATTGTTGGATTTTCTCCCATTGATTTTAGAACTTTATATTCTATTAATGGCAACGATGTATAATTACTAAAATTTATTTTGCGGGGACTTAACTGCTGCTGTGCATTATAATAAGGAATTTCAGTAGGTGTTTTAATGGAATTGTAACTACTACTTTTTTTACTACTTTGACTTTTTGTGCTCCCTTTACTGCTTTTTCTGGCTTCATCGGAATAATGTTCTCGTTTAAATATCTTTGGTTTTACCTAAAACACATTGAATAATTTAATTTTAAAACTATTTACATACAAATGAAATTTGGTACTATTTTCAATAATAGAGCCAATAGAGTCAATAAAAACAAA